GGTCCTGCTCGGAGTGAAAACACGGATGCAGGTGCAAACTCGAGCTCTCTGTCATCTCAGGGACAGGTGAGTGCGAGAGAACCTAGAAGTGAGTTTAGGATGGTCTTGACTGCCAAGTACTGGTTGCGCATCGGGCTGCTAATGGCAGGTCAGCAGTTTGAAACCCCCTGATGCTCAGAGGGAGAAAGATGGAGCTTTCTACTCCGAGAAAGGATTACCGTTTCAGAAACTCGGCAGTTCCACCCTGACCTACAGGATCACAATGAGCTGACATGGACTCGATGGTAGTGTGTTTGGTTTTGATTTTGGCTGCCAAGTAGAGACGGTTGGGTAGTGGAGGAGTTGCAGAAGTGTGGAGGACAGAGTGGTGTTTTGAGAAGGAATAATCACGTGGCCCCGTGAATGTAGGTTAGCACCAGGAGCCCCGAACATTAGTGCTGAGGGCACGGTAGCTGTGCACACACAGCAACGCAGTGATGCCCTAGAGCAGGGTCACTGTGTGGGGAAGGGAGGGAATGAATGCAGTAGACTGGGGGAAGGAAGGATCCGCACAACGAGGTGACTGTGTTGTGGAGGTGTTAGTAGTACAGTACTGTTAGCAGTACAGTGCTGTGTTGTGGAGGTGTTAGCAGTACAGTAAGAATCTTGGGAGACGGGGAGGAAAGGTGTCAATGATTAATCCACTGCAACTGGTCGCCGGGAGAATTGTGGTCCATGGATATAACTTAGACTGAGAAGCTGGCTGGGGAGAGAAAGAGGATGAGTTCAGCCTTGAACACGTGGAGTTTGAGGTGCTAGATCTCCAGCTGAAGATGTGCATCTGGAAAGTTGGCAAGTGGTCTCTACTAGGGGTCTGCAGAGAGGCTGTGGGTGAAGCAGCTGAGCGTATGGAATCCCTAGTGCAGTGTGTGTGTGTGTGTGTGTGACATCAGACATCAAATAGGTGGGAGGAGGAACACATTGCCCTTTCTGGATGAAGATATGGGGAGGGTACAAGTTAAATACAAGCATCTAAATTCCTTCAAAATAATCTTCCAAATTAGACTAAATTTTTAGCTTTATGCAATCAGTATTGAAACACCTCCTCTGTGCTGTGGCAGGACAGCAAAGAGCCTACCAAGATGGTATTCCTGGCCTCAAGGAGCCAGCACCTTCTACGTAGGTTTGTTTTCGTTGTTAGCCACTAGTGCACGTCCCAAATAAGAGCGGCATTTGCCGCTGGAAGGAATTAGGTTAAAGGGTGGTTTCCTGTCCATTCTTGTTTCATCTCTTCTGTGTCCCCTCCTCTAACAGGAATGCTGATACCTCCTTTCATCCCAGACTCCAGGACTGTCTACGCAAAGAATATTCAGGATGTAGGTGCCTTTTCCACCGTCAAAGGCGTGGCCTTTGACAAAACAGACACAGAATTCTTTCGGGAATTTGCCACTGGCAACTGCCCCATCCCCTGGCAGGAGGAGATGATTGAAACGGGCATTTTTGGGGAGCTGAATGTGTGGCGTTCTGATGGGACCATGCCAGCCGACATGAAGGGACTCGCTGTGGAGGAGGCTCCCTCGTCCAAGTCAGGCCTGTGCCTCGTTTCCTAGAGCAAGCTCCCGGAGCTGTGAGGCGAACTTCACCTTGTTTCCTAGAGCAAGCTCCTGGAGCTGCGAGGCGAACTTCACCGTGGGAGCCAAGGAAGAGAAGAGACGAGAGACTGCACACGGAGGAAAGGGTCCCTCTGGAAGCCTCAGCGTGGATATGAGTTTGCCGGTCGAGAGACGGAATGCCTTTGGGACTTCAGTTACAGATTCAGTCGGCCAGTGAGCCAGTAGGACGCGTCTGCCTATCCCAGATCGCTCCATGGGTGGCTGAGTTTTGTTGCCAGGACAATGCAAAAGAGAAAAACAATTAGAGCTATGTGGGAGCACAGCCATTGTGTCCCTACTTAGAATTCTCAGCTTCCAAACT